CGTGAAAAGTTACTGTATTTCATTTTTGTTCATTCAAACATAATATGCATTATTGTTCATTCGGTAACAAATTATGAACAGTTATTACTGGCAAAGGTGGACAAAATACCTGTTGTAAAATTTAGATGTAGGTATCTGGTACAAAGTATTTCACAGTTTGTCAAAGTTTTGACCTTTGTGAGTTTAAGCTAAAGGCGGGGACACACTTGTCATACACCCTTCCGATCCGACTCCGATCATACTGCGGTACGACTGTCGGAGAGGAGAATGGTACATAACATTGAACGTGGTTGTTTACACCTCTCCGACACGGGTCACGTCATACTCCGATCCTACTCCGATTTTGACTCCGATCACGCACCGACACTGCAGTCTATTTGTTTGTCGGATGCAGGACGGGTAGTTTCTTAAAAATAACCTTTATTCTTAAGGTTTAGGAACAATGGTTTAAGATAAATATATGCCGATGCTTGATTTGAAATCTGTGCGTGCATACCTTCAATTCGAGACCTCAATCATGAAAATCGGACGGGTAGAAGAGCTAAACGAACTCGAGAGAGAAAACCCTATAATATATATAATGGGCACTTCTGCTTTCCTTCCATGCAGAATGGACCCAAATTCTCCGTTTTCCACTGCCCTCCAGAGATGTCTGACTTTCTTCCTCTTCATCTAGACATACCGCCACCATGGCTAAATCCTGAATACCAAAGTTTTTGAACATACAGTATTTATCACCTTCTGCACGTAGTTTACGTTTACGAATCAGACTGGCGAGTGTTGATCTACCCGGTGGAGGAAATCGGAGATGGGTCGCCGGTTCGGAAGCGTGTATGACATGTGTGTTCACCCCCTCCGATCCCGCACCGATCCTTCTGGAATCCCGCAAATCGGATCGTAGTAGGATCGGAAGGGTGTATGACAAGTGTGTCCCCGCCTTAACCCATGAACAGTTATTACTTGGGAAGGTTAAGAAAATATAAATGAATAACTTACAAAGAAGTCTGTTAGGCCTCTCGCACGTTACTCGGAATGGCCTTAATTTGCAGTTTCTTAGAATATCCTTTCACAGCAAGCAATTCATTAGGTGTCAGGTAACTTGGTTCAGTTCACTTTCGTGTGATTCCCCTCTAATATCCAACATAACTATTGTTTTGATTTTAGTTTGTAATCATAATAGACAAGCTCCTGGGTGAAATGGGGGGGGGGGGGTACAATTCCGGGCCGTATATCTTCTTCTGCGGTGACCAGGGGGTACAATTCCAGGGGGGTACAATTCCGGTCCAATAATAAGGGCTAGACTGACGGGGGGTACAATTCCAGGGGGGTACAATTCCAAACCGTACACTGGCCAAATAAAAGTGAGTTCTAACTGAGGGGGTACAATTCCGGTCGGTACAGTTTTTTAGAAGCCAGTGGATTTAATCAAACCACTCAAGTGAAATGTTAGTCTTGTTCAGTTTACTCTCTGCTGAAGTAGGATTAGTGCTGTTTGGTGTTGGTGTTGAACTCTGATTGCAATCCAGTGAATCAGGACTTGTTTCTCCAGGTGTACCGTCACCCTCTAAGCTAGGGCTAGGGCAGGACTTAGTTACTACAGGTGTATTATCACTTAAGTTGCCACTGTCCATGGACTTAGCTTTGTCAGAATAATCCGAAAGTTTCTGTTGAGTAACCACCGCAGCGGTAGATGAATCATTAATTTCCATAGTAGAACTATTCCTAGTAAAACTCAATTCTATTTCCTTCATAGCTGTCAAAAACATTTCTTTATTTTTGTGTTTTAGCTTTGTAACTCCAAATCTGGATTTGTTTTCCAAGAAAAGGCTTACATCTATTTCTTTAACATAAGCCACCTCATTAGTTCCATAGAAAGTAACATTATACTTGGGTAGTTTATTTTTAAAGTCAATGCTGTTTATTACTGCAGGCCAATTAGAGTGTCCTTTTAGTTTCGCAAAGACTCGATCACTGACTTTAAATTTGTTATTTTTTGTATGGCTCATTTTTAATCTTCATCAAGTCATCAATCACAGGAACAAACTACTGGTAATTGTATATGTATATATATATATATTTTTTTTTTTTTATTTGATAGCGACTACTTAATTCATCACTACCAGATAGCTACTGGGCCTCATAGTAACATAAATAGTGTCCAATGTAAATATATTAAGCTGATAATCCAGGGAGTCACGTCTAAAACTTTAACATTTGGGGTATTCACAATGATCAGGTTGTTTTTTATCTAGCCTGTATGCACAAGTTATCAGCTATCATGTTGTAATATAAAAAATTAATAATCCTATAGTTTTATTTCCACCAGCAACAAGCAGCTTTTTCATGTGAAAAACAAAGTAGCAGAAAAGCAGACAAATAAATAGTTTAGTCCCAATAATAAACTCTTGATTTTTGAGTAAAATAAAAATATAATTTATTGATAGAACTAGAAAAAAATAAAGTAAAATCTCCTTTGGTATTAAATATCAGTAAACATTGTCCTCTAACCGTAAACAATAACAGTCCAGCAGTCTACCTGTAGTTATCAGTTGATTGTAACCCAACCAATGTCCTTGACCAGATAGCAGGGTCGTCCAGTCTTATCAGGTTTCCACAATCAGTTCGGAAATGTAATGGCACAGATGCCGATAGAGTTAATTGAGGATGGAAACAAATTCTTCAATAGATAATACTTTTAAAACAGCTAAGGTATGTTAAATTGAATTACTGATAAGTTTTTGCCACTAAAATATTTAATAAAACCACTGTATTAAACTTTAAAATACGGAGCAGTTTGATAGTTTTAGTGACTGCCCGCCATCTTGATGACGTATAATGTTTGTACTACACTGCATTTCACCACAAATAGCAAAGTGCAATGGGATATTATAAACGAACATAGTGGCCGAAAGAAAAAAGGACCTGATGAAGTAAAATTAATAATTAATAACACAGAAGTATCGTATCCAAAGGAAGTCGCTGAAGAATTTAAACAGTTTTTTTTCTTACGTTCCCCTAGTATCGTCATCTTCCTTACAAAATGTTCCAATTGATGATGTTAAAATCTATGACAACCTTTTTAAAAGCAAACCCATCGGAAATTCAATATTTTTATATCCTGTAGCTGAAAAAGAAATCAATAATTTTACATCAAGCTTGTCATCAGCAAAATCCCCTGGAAGTGATGACATTACTTCCCTTTTGGTAAAAAAAAGTTTCAACTCAAATCACTCCAATATTAACCTATATTTTCTACCGATGTTGTTGTCGTTGTGTTTCTTGGTTATATTGCTGACAAATGTCATGAAATATTCTGAATAATTAGTGAAAATAGTTTTTAATATATTTTTGGTTAGGTATTAACAGTTTTCTTTGCTTATTTTTATGCAAGTAATCAGATATAGGCCTAGTTTTTTTTGTGTCTAGTTTGTGTTTATTGACACCAATAGAATGTAGGAGTGAAGTGAACTATATTGTAAACTCAGAGTGTAATTTTCTGTTTTTAGATTTACAAACGACTTAGTATTTAGTGATAGTGGCCCATTCAAGTGAAATTGATAGATGGATTGATGATAATGAGTTGCTTTTATCAGATCCAAGTGATGATGAAGACTTTGACTTTGCTCAGCAAGAGGTATGCCTAGAAGGTAATGAGGGGGAAGAATTTGATCTTGACAGTGATGATCCTTTTGTAAATGTTTGTAATATTGACAATGTCATGGAGGATGTAGTGGGAGGTGCAGGTGACTGCCCCGTCTGAAGAAATAGGCCTGTACAACCTGAAATAGTGTGGGAAGACTTGGGAGTTTATGAACCGATAAGGGATACATTTCTAAGTCATTCTGGACCCTAAAATACCAGTTGATAGTCCATTTGGTATGATAAACTAATGGATGAAATTGTGACAAACACAAATGCTTACACTGAGCAGCAACGAGCTAAGCAACTAAGCAAGGTATGATATTTGCTCGTAGATCTCGAGACTGGAATTGGCAGCCAGTTACTAAAGAGGAACTTTATGTTTATTTAGCATTAGTAATGCTGATGGGCATTGATCAAAAACCATAGATACGTTCCTACTTTACTAAAAACCCGTTACTTGAGTCTGCTACTTTCCCCAGCGCCATGTCTCTAAATAGGTTTGAAATTATCAGTAAATATCTGCATTTTAGTGCCTCATCTAAAAAGTCACAGTTCGAAACTAAGATTTTTACAGTTGTGGAGCTTCTAAATGACAGGTGCAAATCTTCTTATGACTTGCAACAAGACAGATCTATTGATGAGTCACTTACCCTTTGGAAATTCCGTCTGTCATTTCGCCAGTACTTACCTCTAAAGTGTGCACAGTTTGTGATCAAATCATTTGAAGTTTGTGAGTCATCATCTGGTTTTACGTGGTCACTCCTTATTTACACGGGTAAAGGTAGTAAATTTGAATGCCCCATCTTTCTACCAGATAGTAATAAATCTACAGCTATTGTTGTAACATTGTTGGAAACCTTGCTCGACAAAGGACATACAGTCTGGATGGATAATTGGTACAACTCTCCAGAGCTTAGTAAATTTCTAAAGAATAGAAAAACTGACAGTTGTGGTACATTGAAACTTTCAAGAAAGAATGTTCCTCAGAAAAGAAACACAACTTGAGAAAGGGGAAATTACTGCACTACATTGCCAAAATGTAATGATCCTAAAGTGGCGCGACAAAAGGGTTGTTACACTTTTGTCAACACTCCACAACCACAAAATGGATGTTAAGAGAAATAAAGCAGATAAAGAGCAGATAAAACCTATACTTGTGTTTGACTACAACAAACAAATGGGTGGGGTTGATCTCAGAGATCAAATGCTTAACAGTTTTCTCTTAGAGCGAAAGCGTGGACTGAAGTGATACATGAAGTTATTCAAAAGATTACTCAACATTTCAGTTCTGAATGCCTATGTAATTTGGAAATCAGCGAACCAGAAAAGTAAACATTTATAATTTAGGCTCCAATTGATCAAGGACCTGATTCACACCTATGGGTCAGAGGTGAAGAGACCAGTGTTTGGACGGCCATCAATTGAGCCCAAGCCATCTCTCGCCTCTTACAGAAAGACATTTTATTGAGCGAATCCCACCCACTGAGAAAAAGGCAAAGCCTAAAAAAAGATGCTGTGTTTACTACAAGCGTGGTGTGAGAAGGGAGAGCATCTTCTGTGAGCTGAGTTTGACTGTGAAGCTGGGCTGTGTATTGGCGAGTGTTTCAAAATCTACCACACTGTTGTCAACTTTTAGAAGGTTTGTAAAAAGAAAACTGTTTTGTTATTGTTTAGTAATATGTTCATTCATTCATTCATATGTTTTATTGTAGTGCCACTATTTCCATACAGTTTAACACAAGAATCATGTAAATAGGATGTATAATAGTGAAAATATGTATGTTTTAGTGATCGTTTGCATAAAAAGGGCACGAATGCCGAAATAAGTACCGCAATAGGGCGTTTTTGGTACTATAAATGTCCCGCGTTGAAGGGTTAACCACACAAATCACATACTTGTCTTGTCTTTTTGAAAAAAAAAAAACACAGAACAGACAACTAAAAAACAGATTTGACTTATGCTGGAAAGATGTGATGAAATCCCTATGAAACAATTTACATACCTTTAAAAGGAATGTCAAATTCTTCTGGGTAAAAGGCACAAACTGATCGTTGAGGTGAATGAACTTCAAGTATTTTTCATAAAAAAGGCCACTGTAAAAAATTGAATAATTAAAAACATACAATGATCCTGAGCAAAATTCTTATTCATTACTTGAAATTGAACAGTACTCTCCAGAATATTAGTCTTTCTAATGTTAGTCATTAGAGATCAAACTACACTTGTACACCATTGTCAAAAGAAAATAATATTCTATAGGAGGAATTCCAAACGTCCTTCCTTAGCTTTTTATTTATTTCTCAAGATGTAAAGGCCCTTCCACACCACAAGTAGTGTGTGTAGCTGGATGTACGCTAGTTACTTTTCTAAATATCGCTTCCCTGTTTATCATATGAGTCTATTCACACAGCAGGGCTCGTCTGAGCTGATAGGCCTATTGATCACGGAGGTCTCGCTGAAATTATATTTTTTTCACTTTTCTTAAGCTAAATAACGTCCTGAATTCAAAAATGATTGTCATTTTCCCCGGAAAAGCGGAAAAAAAAACATTTTTGCGGATATAGGTCATGAGGGTACTCAAATTAACCGGTAGAGTGAGCTGAACAAGAATATGCGGAATTTTCAGATCTGATGGATATTAACGGAGATACGAACGGAAAAGCGCCGTTTTCCCGGAAAAACTATGAAAATTATTTTATTTCAAAACACACATTTAACGTATCTAAATTGTGAGGGAGTTTACGCTGATTGCATTAGGTTATGTTAGGTAGGTTGAGTTGGGTTACGTTAGGTTACATTGGGTTATGTAAGGATGGGTAAGGTTAGGTTAGGTTAGGGGTTAGGAGGTTGGGTTAGGTTAGGTTGGGATAGATTAGGTTAGGTTGCTCAATAAAATGGATATTGTTAGTAACCTAACCCAACATCTAATCTAACCTAACCAAATCTAGTATAATATAATCTAACCTAACCTAATATAATCTAACCTTACCCAACCTAACCTAATATAATATAATATAATCTAACCTAACCTAAGGTTGGGCAAAGGTGTGGATACCCCTAGTTAACTTTTTAATTGGTGACACCAAGAAAACTAAACTCCACATACCTTCATAAAAAATAAAACTGCACTTTTTGGACGGTATCCCAATTTTTCACGGGACCCCAAAATGGGGTATTTTGGGGGCAGGTCAACAATTTTAAATGTAAAGGCCTATCGAGTGTTACCTCATTTTAAAGGCCTTTATTAAAGAAGAATATCAGAGAAAACTAGAGGTCTCTATCTCAACCCAGTACGATTAAATTTTCATCAGCCTGAGTGAACCCACTTAAATGTAGGCATCAATATCCCATATTAACTTTTTAGCGGGTTATACCAGGAAAACTAAACTCCGCATACCTTCATAAGAAACAAAAATGCACTTTTTGGTCGTTATCACAATTTTGCCCGGGACCCCGAAATAAGGTATTTTGGGGGCAGCTCAACAATTTTAAATGTAAAGCCCCATCGAGTGACATCCCATTTTAAAGGTATTTATTTAATAAGAAACATAGTGCAAACAAAAATGTTTCCCTCTACTCCCAGAGTTATGGTAGTTTATTGTAATTGTTTTATTTAAATTCAACTCTAAACTAGAGGAAAACCAGCGGCATTATTGGAAAAACCCGCATTGGCAAACAATGACTCTAGAAATAAACTTTCACGAGCTTGAACATTCCAGAACCACAACCTTATTGTAAGATAATATAAAATAATATTAAATGTTGCAAGTAAAGAACGTGTTTATTATTCAACAAGAGTCATCATCACCACAACAACAAACTAAATTATTTATTTATTTATTTTATTTATTTCTTTTATTACAATGCTGCAAAACAGGATAAACCAAATTACATTGTAGCATTAATATTATAACAACAAAATCTTGACATGCATTATAAATAATAAATATGGTAAAAGTTCATCTTGCTGAATAAATTATAATTATTAGTGTAATCACTCACAACAATACAATATATGACAAAAACGAACTAATATCAATAAATAACGTACAAATAAATATCTTAAAAAATAACATTGGCAATTATTTAAATATATATAACAACAATAACAAATTAAATAAATAAAATACAACAACAAAGTCTGAACAGAGTAATTAATTTAATAACAATAATTATTTGGAGTAATTAAATATCTAAAAACGTATTTCCTGAACGTACTGTGACAGTAAAAAAAATATGTCTATTTGGTCGTTATTAATTGTGTTGAACAGCCTAACCATTGAGTTGAGCGGTGAACACATTCCAAGGTTCGTTCTAGAGAAGTGGGGGGAGAAGAGCAAACGCGAACGTGAATTGTGTCTGGGCAACATGAACCGCACACGGGACAGCAGCGCTGCGTCGTCGAGCTCACCACACACCAACCGCCTCAGATACAACATCATTGACACTTTATGCCTAGTACTCAACTGATCGATTTCAAATAGTGTGAGAAGTTCTGAGTATGGGACCAGCATCGTATAGTAGCCTAACCAAATGTTTTGTAATAAAGAAATCTCAAGAACCTTCTTTGGACATCCTCTATGAGATCGGATAAATAGTTCACACTAGGATACCATACCACAGAAGCATATTCTAATCTTGACCTGACCAGTGAACAATATAACAGTTTAATACTTCTCTGATTAGTAAAAATGTTGCCCAACCTGCAGATAAGACCAACAATTGAGAAGGCAGTCTTACAAATGGAAATCACATGATCATTATATGTAAATCTGGAATCAAATGTCACACCCAAGTCTTTAATTGAAGTTTTCCTCGAAAGAAGACTACCACCAATATTATAATTATGCATGATGAGGTTACTAGGGGTTTTCTTTGAATATGTTACAACAGAACATTTATCCACATGAAATTTTAGATTGTCACGACTCCAAAGAAACAATCGATCGATATCATCTTGTAGCATAACACAATCTTGTTGGTTGTTGACAATAGTGAATATTTTGAGATCGTCAGCATATAGAAGAAACTCGCAGTTTATTATCAAATCTTTTAAGCTATCAATGTAAAAAATAAATAGCAAAGGTCCCAAATTTGAGCCCTGGGGCACACCTGAGTCTACATCAAATTGTTCTGATAGGTGTCCCTCAAAAGATACAAATTGTTTTCGACCCCTGAGATATGAACAGAAGAATCTTAAGAGTCCTTCAGAAAAACCGAAGTAGTTCAATCTCGAAAGCAAAGCCAGATGATCAACTTTGTCGAAGGCCTTCTCGAAGTCGGTGTAGATAACATCAACTTGGTTACCACTATCAATAACAGGAATACAAAACTCAGAAAAGTTTAACAGATTTTAATTAATGGATCTGCTGGGGAAAAATCCGTGCTGTTTTGAAGATAGAAATTTACTGACATGGCTGAACACTTTATGATAAAGAATTGATTCAAATACTTTAACAGGAGCAGGCAAAACTGATATTGGACGATAATTCTTTATGATGTCTCTTCGGCCCTTTTTGAAAATGGGAATTATTTTAGCTTGCTTCCATTTCGTTGGGAAAACATTGCTGGTAATCGCGAGATTAAAAATAGCTAGAAGCGGTTCAACAAACAAATCTGCACAGGCTTTTAGAATATATGGCGGTATTCCATCTGGACCAAGAGATCTTTTAGGTTTGAGGTTTTTGAGTGCAGAGAGGACATCATGATACGAGACACAGGAGACATTGAGGCACGGGACGCCAGGCAGGGTCGGTGAGCGGAGCGCACGCCGACACAGGTCGTCGCTGCCCAGCTGACAAGGCTCATACACAGACTTAAAGTAAGTAGCAAACTCGTCCGCTATGGCCCTCCCACCCTCCACAACTCTATCGTCCAATTTCATAACAGTTGGACTGTTATCATTAACTCTAAGACGTTTTACCACACTCCAAAATGTCTGAGGATTGCTCAACACATTGTTTTCTAAATTTGAAATATATTCTTTATAGGCTGATTTAATATTTACTTTAATAGTACTTCCCACCAGTTTGTATTCATTTATGTTTCAATCATGTTATACTTATTTAGCTTTCTCCTTAGCCTTTCTTTTCTTTTGATCAAGGATATTATGTTGTGATTAAACCAAACAGGATACTTTGAAATTTGTAGATATTAGCCTAGACACCTATTTATTATCAGTATTTTTACCTTTTTGGTAGCCTAAGGTGTCCAAAATTCTTATGTCCTGCGAGACGCCAGTTGGGTCAGTAGGCCTACAACCTTGTGCGGTATCGCGTGTCTTCTCCCGCTCGCTTGATGTACAGTACGTGTGTGACCATGGTTGTAAAACTGTATATAAATATGTGTTTCGTGAACTGTGTTATATGTTTTGTAAATTGTGACAACCACTTCTGTGGGCAATGTTGAGACCTGACAATGACAGCGACTGAAGATGCATTGTAATTAATGCGAAACGCGTCTCACAGGAGATAAGAATTTTGGACACCTTAGGCTACCAAAAAGGTAAAAATACTGACTTTGAAATTGATTTTTTAGCTTTTGGAACAAACTTATCAAATACATTATATAATTTAGTATAAAAAAATCAACAGATAAATTAACATCCTCAATAAGTCTAATTTCAGTCCAGTTTATTTTTTTTATTTCGTTGTACACACTTAAAAAATCGGCCTTTTTAAAATTATAGAAATAACCATTTTGAAATTATAAAACATATGATAAATGCAAAGGCATATGAATGACACTACATCTCCCCTTCCTCATTATATTTACTCATATCTTATTGGAGGTCTGATAGTTCTACTTGATCTTCTTATTCTATCATTGTGGTTTGGCTGCACCCTCCTTCCACGGTAGACGTCGTCAGAATCATCATTCTCTTTTCTTGGTAGGGGAATGAGATGCCATCTGTTTCATCTTACATCATTCCCATTACTCAATGATACTATGTAGGATCGAGGTAGATTGCTTGTAGTTCTTATGGTTCCTTTCGCACTTATATCTTTAACCCAGACCCTCTCTCCTACTGCTAAAGGTGGAAGTTCTTTGACGCCTCTTCTGTTGTCAAAGTTTTTCTTGACTTTGTCTTTTA